TGAAGGTCATATCTCCTATAGACCGCTTTACAGTCTGTTCAAGACTCCTGTATGAAACAACCGCAAATAACTTATGGTCACTTTTTTTCAAAAAATAATACAGCTGTGGTTTAAAGTGCTTTCAGTGACGCACACTAAAAAGGTTATCATCTCCTTTGGTAACATATTTGATTCACATGGAACAATGTAGCTTAATTTAAAAATATGTTACTCAGTCCTATAGGTACAAAGGATGCCGGGAATAGTGAAAGGAAGAAGTGGAACACTAAAATACAACCTATACAAATGATCAAAATGAACACCTTGCTTTACACATTTCCAAAACTGAAATATTGGCTATTTAGTGTGAAGATGATTAGACTGTATCAATAATTTGTGGCTGGAGTAAAACGGCTGAAGAGCTTAGCTCATAATTGGAAGCCTACAGTCAATGGAAAGTCTTTATCTTGTCAACAAGATGCAGCAGGATAGACACTTAAGATGTAGGCCACGGCTGTCTAGCTCATGAACAAGTAGTCATTACTAAAGTAGACATAATACAATAAACACATGCTCTTATGTCTTCATTTCTTAATTTTCAATGTCTAAATGTCAGCAGGGACATCATAAATGTATCTGAATTGCAAACATCTGTAATAACTAGTTGTAAAAGGAAGCTTCACAAACATATACACATTTAAAAAAAATTGTATTGTTCTTTATTTTTCATGTTAAAAGCACCCAATAGCCAACGCCTTTATTTTTTATTAAACTCCAATGTTAATTATTCTTTATTTAGCAAATATGTCTGAACTTTTAGGAGTTCATTGACCTTGTTTAATATCTGTCTCAGTTTAATCCTGTACGGTACTTCATGAAGCAGAGTATACCCTTGTTAAAGGATATTTTGTGGATTATTGTCATGTCCTGATGGGACCTATGTTGCCAGTGGATTTGGGATTTAAGGGGATTCAATAAGCTGTAAGATAATTAAAAACTCCCTGATCAGCCGTACTGATCGTTACTGTTGCCATATATTGTCTTCCTAAGACTCAGTATTTTTGGTATGCCTTGTACTTAACACCTCCCTTACCTTTAATCTCTGTACCTAACAAAGAATTAATAAGGCTCTGCACATTAGACTCATAGGACTTAAGACCACCTTATAACAGAAGATCTGTTTAAATTACTCCTGCCATGTGGACATTGGCCAAAATGTCCAACTTTAAGAGTAATTGTAATATTCCTGATCTAGCGACATTAATGTGATTGACTTCAGTTCCATTGTAGGACACACATTGTATAACAGTTAAGCTCACCCCAAAAGTACAAACGTTCACCAAAAAAGTTCTTTATAACCCCCATCTTTGTTATGCTATGCCCCCTTCTCAAAGATCTGGGGCCTCATTTATAACGCCGTGCATAGGATTCACGTGGGAAGGTTGCTTACGTAGTAGAAAAATCAAAAAAATAGGTACAGAAATGTTCCGACATTTTCTGAGGTTGCGTTCCGATAATCCAAAAATCAGCTTCTAAATTCTAACCCTATCTCCTATTCCTTGACCTCTGAGTGAAATTTCACGGGGTTAAGGGATAGTGGATAGGATAATTCAAAAGGACTTACATGTAGGAGAAGAGACTGTGGTACTTTAAAGAATCCGAATGCACTTTCACTATCTGACGTGTTTATGATGCGCCAGCGGACGTCATTGTGTGCGTCTGCTGCTGTGGTGAAACTATGGAAACTATAGTGTTCTATACAAAGGAATACGTGGATGTTTAATAAGAACGAGGGACTCATCTAGAGACTCTGCACCGTGCTCTGATGCTGTTGTTTTATGCTTTATGAACGTGGACAACAGAGAAAAATATTCTTCATGACCAAAGTTGTAATTGAAATAAAAAAGGAAAGTGAAATGTATGCTCGTCAGTCACCCTCTCCCTTCGGTCCACATTAATACAAATGATCCCAATACGTATGATTGTATGAAAATATCTTAAAATCAATACAAATGTATTTATTATAAACGTTAGTCCTTAACACCTATCATATCACCATGCAAACATCTTTTAAAAGTTGAACAAACCCCACACTGCTCAGTAAACACAGTGAAATGTTGACTTTATTTGATCATTTCAGTAAAAACTAACGTTCATATTTCTCTTTTTGATTATAATACTGATGAACGTTCAGAACAAAGCATGGCAACTTACCACATACGTTTTAAAATGCTTAATAAGCACCGTAACTTTCATGATATAATTTCTCCGTCATAATCGTTTGTTTCCGTGAACGGCCGACTGTTGTGTGACGCAAATGCTGCGGCTGCAAGGCATAGTGGGGCAGCATTTTCTCCTCTCCTTTCGGTAAGGGAGGTCCAGTGGTTCCTAAACTAAAGGAGGTTATAAAGGAAGTTTGAAACCTCCTTTCCTTTCATTTGGAGAATTGGAACGGCACTTAACATGGCTGCCACTGACGTACTTCCGGGTCATTTCACTTGGTTAGGAAGGTT